ATATTATTTGGAGCAGGAATGTGCCCAGCTAAAACACCATGCTTCCCACCCTTCTTTTTAGCCAGCTGTGGTTATGTGACTTAACTTCGATCATGGAAAAATCATAGATTGGGGTTTCTGGGAATCTCTTTAAAGGGAGCAGTCATAAGTGTCTGTGCCCGTTTTGCTCCTCCCCGTTTCTCCTTCTTTCAGCATACAATGCCACACAGACCTCCAGAATAGGTGGCGGGGACCAGGATGAATAGAAATTCATTTGAAAGTCTCTCTCTTTTGGACAAGAATATGCTAGACTCATATGTATAGCGCATATGTACTTAATAGAAAACCTAAGGATATGGCTGTGATGGCTGGTGCTGTAGCAGCTGTATTGTGACCATGAAGTGACCTTGAGGATGAAAGCCAGTGCTAAGAATGGCAGAACAGAGAGAAGGAAGCCAGGACACTGATGACACTGCAGAACCACCACAATGTCCCTGGATTGCCTTACCTCTGCACTTGTTTTGCATAACAGAAAAAACATTTCTTTTCCTAAGCTGCTGTTATTTGGGGATTTTGTTATAAGTAGCCAAACGGAGTTCTTATCTGGTGAGGATGGGGTGTGTGTGTGTGTGTGTGTGTGTGTGTGTGCGTGCGCGCGCACATGTGTATGTGTTAAAAGGTGGCATATAGAACATGTTGGATTAGGGACTTTAAATTTCTGCATTGCTCTAAAGTAGAACTGAAACAGTTGAGAACCACAGTTGAGGAAACCAATCTGATCTCTATGATCAGAAAACCCTCATTCTTATACAGATGGGTGTCCACACCGTGCATATTCACCAAGTGCAAGTCGATTGCCCCCTTCCCTACATCTTGTTGACCAAGACAATATCTACCTTATAAAGATTGAAATTTACATTTTATGCCATTAGCAGTTTTTATTGAAGGAGGTAAATGATTTTTTAATTCATCTCAGGTTTAAGATAAATTCTGCAAACATTGATTAAAACATGAAAGGCACTTAAATAAGCATACATATCTCTGAAAACATGAAATGTTATGTACATGTGTTCACCATTGTTTGGATTTAGAGCTTTGAATTCACTAAGAGTTTAAAATGCTTTTTTTTTCCTCATGCCAAAACGTTTGACTATGAAATATCAACCCAGAATGCTCTGGGAAAAAGTTAGCAGGGCTTCAACCATTTTTGTTTTTTGTTTTTTTTTTAAATTGCAGGCTTAAACCATCTCTATTCATATAGAACCCAGAAACGATGTCTCCTTGGATATGCCACGTGGCCTCTCGGTTTCACCAGGCATCTTGAAACATCGAGGGCAAGTAAGAGAGTTGTCCATTCATATCTTCATCACCAATATTAAGTTTCTTTTAAAAATTCAACACTTGCTGGGTAGAAAAGTCTCTGCAATAGCACAACATGCTTGTCTGCTTTTCAGTCCATTCTGTGTGTAATTCCTGGGGTTTATGAGATCGAAAAATAACTCCAGTTGTGGCCATTTATCTAGTTTTGTGGCAGCTGCAAATTCGGTTGCTCCAGAAACCACCTAATCTTCACTCTCCCAACTACTTTTAATGGCTGGATTAATGGACTAACCACTTACATGTGAAAATCCATCTTGGCTCTATTATCAGGACCATGGACAATGGGCAGATGGACAGAGGATTTACTGATTTACAAACTATTACCATCTTTGACATTTATTTGAAAAAAAAAGAGACGCTTCAGATCGTTTAATATTTCAGTGATAACTTAGTTTTATGAGAGAGAGATGTTTTAAGGGAACAAATGAGAGGCAGTGTTTTTTTGTGTTTTGTTTTTTTAAATGAGGTACCTTGGAAAACAGCATACAACGCCACATGCAGACCTCCACAATAGGTGGAGGGGACCAGGAGGAATACGAATTCATTTGAAAGTCTCTCTCTTTTGGACAAGAATATGCTAGACTCCCACAGCTCATATGTACTTGATAGAAAATGTAAACATTGATTTGATTTAGGCTCAGCTTCAAAACAGTAGTAAGGCATTAATTAGAAAAGATTATTCCATATTTGTTCTCCTTTATTCTTTTCTTACTTGGTCAAGAACTAAACGAACTCAATGTACTCTTGTGGATGAATGAAGGGCAACTCCCTCTGGGAAGATTCCTTATATTAACGCAAACCCCTGATCCCTTCCGGTGAACTCAAAACCCTAAGCCGAGGCTGAGAGGCAGTCGGTTCCTGGCATGAAGAGGATGGTTGTAGGCTGAGGTCTGAAAGGAGAAGTCAGGTAAAAGAGAAGCGTTTGCTGCAGAGTAGTGGGGTGGGCAGAGACCTGAGACCCTCGGGAATAGCCCGCCAGGCTGTGCCCTTCAAAGTCTCTGACCAGTTCTGGTTCCAGCATTTTCTGGGCAATGCCATCACAAGCCCCTGTGTCAAGGACACCTACTGCCAATTTTGGCAAGTTTATTTTTCTTGCTGTTGAGTCAGACAAGAAGGCCCAGGCCAAGGATGTGAAGAGCTTAGGGACTTTCAAAGCCACAGAGGGCCTGGCCCATCAGGTCTCCGCAGGAACATGGCTCATAAAATGCATTTGCTCCTCACTTGGAGCCCCAGCTGGCAATTCTAGACAGAACAGGCGAAGGCCACAGTAAGCTGCGGGGTGGCATGGAACTCTGAAAAGACTCCTCCCTTGTGCCATTCTGGGCCAGAACAGAGATTTCGCATTTTGCTGGCTTAGGGTGGGGACATGGCATTGTCCTCACAGGCTGAAATCATCACATTTGAAAGCTGGAACAAGCATCTTTTGAATGGGCATAACGCGATTGCTGGGCCAATTTCTGCAGAATGGAGTGACACGTCACTGTGCCCTCCCGGATGCAGGCTGCCTGCCGCCTTCCTGCAGCATCCCCCTGCTTCCTGCGGACCAGGGCACTGATGCTCAGTTCAGCCTTCAAGTGCCGGGAAACCTGTGGTCCCCCCAGGGCACTCCTGGGAGAATGAACGCAGATGAATTTTTAAACAGCAGAATGAGTGTGTGTTTGTGTGTGTTTGATAATGGTCCAAGCTTTAATAGCATGGTAAAATATTTACTTTACTTTTTATAGCTAGCATGTAATCAATCGCTAACACACTGAAAGAAGCTAGAAACACCAACGTCTACTCAGCCACAGCTAGAAGGAACCATTCAACATTTACAAACATAAGTGTATACATATTTATGTACGTGTCACATATGTTCATGGGAAATGCAGAGTCATCACCTCGCCAGGTGAGCTGCCCCCCGACCATCCCTCCTGCCCAACACAAGTGGGCGCCCCTGGGGGCATCATCGCTCATTTCCTCTGATGCTGGGTTTCTTTTTCAAGCCACAGAGGACAGGGCTGTGGGCTTCTCTCTGGTTTTGGTTTTTAAGACATTAATAATCTAACAAATTGGTCCATTCAAGTTAATCTCCCTCTTGACCCTGAATAGCCTTGATTCATTTCGCCAAAATTCCCAATCCCCTATTGGATAAATGATGCCAAGTGTGTACCAGGGACAGGGTTGGAGGTGGGGAAATTGATAATAAATATTAAGTAAATGTCCATTATGTGAAGACAAGTGAGTGGTGATCCTGGCTTCTGGGATTTTTTCATAATGAGGTGGGAAGAAGGGCTGGTCATAGGAGAGCGGCAACCACTGAATTAGGAAATGTTAGAAGTGGGAGGCCTCTGAAGACCATGATTTTCCTTTCCAGGGGAAGGAGTTGGGAATGGACTGGGCCACACATGGGACCGGAGTGAGGGCTGAGCTGGATTCATGGTCACCCGTGGAACACCCTTCTCATCAGGGCCAACTCCTTCCTGGGGCTTCTGGGGAGCAGGTGGAAGGAGGCAAGGAGCAGAGACGGTTTGGAAAGTTGTGGAAGCTCCTTTGTGGGGCTGTCACTTTAGCCTCACAGGTAGCGTGGGCAAGGAGAATCCCTGTGAGTTGGTGCCTGTGCACGTGTGTGGTTGTGTAAGGACGGCACCGCCCCACTAATTACAAATTGCAGGTGGGTACAAGTAATTAGGTGGTTCAAAAAATCAAAACTGGTTACACAGAATGGACCTATTCCATTTTCTATACGTGCATGCAGTGTGAAAACAAAGATGGCTCGAAGATATCACAGTGCAAGAACTCTGCAGGCCTTTCGAGCATGAATTATTTTGTGACCTGTGAATTGCCTTCATTCCAAATAAAACTTGGGTGCTTTTCTTTGTCCTATCTTCTTTTCTTTTATATAAAATGGCAACTCTTTCTCAGGAGAAATAGCCTTTTTCCATAAATGCAAATCATTTGGGGTTACTTGTATCAATGGTCAATGTGCCTTGTCTTTCATATGGTTATAAGGAGCAGGGCCATGGCTTTGAACTTGAGTAGCTTTAGCTGTTAGATTTATGGTCTGGAAAGAAGTCAGGAGAGGAGTTGCTGTGTCCCCTGCAGCTGCCTCCATAGTGACACACTCCCTAAGTCCAGAGCCAGTTCCCTTCTAGGCGATCAATGAAAGTGAACAAAGTGGTCATTTTCTTAATTTCATTCTGATTAGTGTCCAGGGAAGGATGATGACCTACATGATCTCAGCCCAAACTGTAAGCCGATTTCTCCTCCTCATTTTCTGATACCTTTACTAGGACCTCAAGTTGCACTTCTGGGATTGAGTGACACATTAACACGGAAGGAAGCCCAGAAGACGCCCGACAGAACCCCTTCTCCCTGAGCGTCCCCTCCCCTCTCCCTACTTCCAATCAACTGTTGCGCGGCAAACTGCAAACATAGAACAAATTCCACTAAGATGGTGTCAAAAAGAGAGAATTAAAGAAAAAAAAAGATGGAAAGCTCGCCTCTTATCTAAGAAATCATTCTATAAATATCTCCCAGTTCAAAGATTTGACTTTTGGTTGTTTGGGGACTATTCCTCACTAGGGATATTTCAAGAAAAAACTCTCCCCATCTGGATGATTTTGTTTTCATTTATGCTATTAAGGATAACTGTACGCAGATCCAAAATAACAGAGGACGTCATTTTATTGGCTGTCCATGGGAAGTTTCATCACACACGGAGGTGAAGACTGTGGGGGGCGCGGCACACAATACCTCAACACGAGACCTCATCGAGCGGCCAAACAGAAGGTGAAATGACCCCCGACACGACGGAACCCCAGCCGCCCTCTGCAGCCCTGGTGCCACCTTTCCACAGATGCCGCAGCCCAATAAGCTGAGTGAGGACACTGTCCATCAGTCTCGGTTCGTTGCACTGTCTTCCAACAAAACAGCACTTAAAAATTCACAAAATTAAAAAAAGAAAAAGAAAGCAGCACTTCCTTGGAAACAGCAACACCACTGTAACACAGACGGCAGCGTGGCATGCAGATCCACACCTGGTCGGTTTTTTCCCTTTAGGATTTTTTTTTTCTTTTTTTAAAATTAACAAATGGAATGGCATGTCTGTTTCAAATATTAGTAGCATAACACGTAAGTGCAGTTGCAGTCTGGCCACAAGTGTCAGAAGCCTTCCGTGTGTCTGTCACAAGGGCGGGCAGACACACTCCGATTCTACCCCTGGAGGGTCCCCGTCCCCAGGCCCACCAAAAGAAAGCAGCGACTTCTCTGTTTCCATTGGTGTCAAAGCACTCAGGTTGGGGAAGAAAATTCAAATGAAACCAAGCTCTCAGCATCCAGGGCCGGCCGCCCTGTGCCGTTCTAAGTGGTCTGTGTCCCCCAGACCTGGGGCTGTTATCTCCACCATGGCATTGGCTGGGGGAGTCGCTGTGGAGCACACCCCTCCGCTCACTCCTGCTGCCCGTGGAGGAGCCTCTGGTGCCTCCCCAGCCTGGGGCCACACGGGTCACACGGAGCTGAGCTTCACCAGGCCGCGCACGGAGTCCTCGTGCAGGGAGTCCTGGCTGGCCAGGCCCAGCACGTGCATGGTGCGGCTGTGCGCCAGGGGGCTGCCCGCCGCCAGCAGCCTGGGGGGCGAGGGCGCCTCATCGGGCGTCAGGAACTGGTGGCCCATGTGCTCATCTTTCCGGGGCATCACGTCCGCGAGCGTGGCCTCGGCGAGGTTGGGCATGGAGGCGGGCGGCGTGGGCGGGCCCAGTGTGAGGCTGGCGCAGGGCGTGCCCAGGCCGGGCTTCCCAGGTAGGTGCAGCTCGTCGCTGGTGAGGCTGGGCTCGCTCTGCAGCAGGGGGGTGGCCGCGGCCTGCAAAACGAATTTGGTGCTCTGAATGCACTGGTCTTGGTCGCACTGGAGAGCAGGAGGCGCCAGCAAAGAGAAGGTGGACAGGAGGGGGCAGAGGTGGGGAGGGACGGGGACAGGGCATGGGCGGGGAGGGCGGGGTGCGAGAAGAGAGAAACCGTTAGTGACACCTCAGTCAGCCAGGCAGGGAGCGCGTAGAGTGGCCCAGGTGCATTGGGAGAGACACCCAGGGCCTGGTGCTGCAATCGCCTCTGCTCAAATGAAGTTACCACGGGTGCCCGGTCATAACATGCAGCACTGATCATGAAGCCAGTGGCCTTGGTTCCCAATTTAAAGGACACAATTGAAAAATCTCTTGGACAGAGTCACAGGCCACCTACAGCAGTGGGTGGCCGTTTCTTGTATGCTGAAAACCATTTTTTAAACCACATTGTTTTAAAAATACAGGGGTTGTACACCCATGTTCATAGCAATGTTATTGATAGTAAGTCAAAAGTCAAAAGCAACTCAAGTGTCCACTGATGAACGACAGCAGGGACAAGGTGCAGTGTAGACACACAATGTTAGTGATTCAGCCTTAAAAAGGAAGTGCATTCGGACACATCCACTAGATGGGTGGACCTTGAGGACAGCATGCTAAGTGAAACAAGCCAGTCACAAAAAGACGAATAACTGTGATTCCACTGATACGAGGTCCCTGGAGGGTCATGTTCTTAGAGAGAAGGAAGAATGGTGGCTGCTGGGGTGGGGGACGGGAGGAGGAGGGAGCTGGTGTTTAAGGCATGCAGAGTTTCAGGCAGGGAAGATGAAGAAGCCCTGGAGATGGGTGGTAGTGGTGGTTGCAGAACAACATCAGCGGATTTAATACCACTGAACTTATACTTACAAATGGTTAAAATGGCCAATATTATGCCGTGTCTATTTTACCACCAAAAACAGAGAGAAAAGTACATGGGTGACAGAAGCCCTTGAGGGTCTGATCAGATTGTTTGGTAAAAGCCTAGAATTCTCCACTGCTAAATTTCCAACAGCTTCAAGAGCCATTCCCCAAGTCTCTGTGGTCTGAGAATGCCCACACTTGAGAAGATGTTTCCTATTCTTCCACTTAAGTCACATGACATCTACCTTGTGTCCTGTTTCCCTTTGCTCACTGGGCCAAGAAGATAGTGTAAGCACTTGTTCAGCCTATGCAACGGGCACCCCGATAGCTCTGCAGACCTTCTCCTTGAACTATGGGCAACTTTCAGAACAGCTAGAAGAGACTTAACGGGACTTGGACACCTTCAACTTAAGCCTGTGCAGCACCTTCTCAGTGAGATTCAGGAGCAGTGTTTCGATGGGAAGGAGGAGGAATAGGCATGGATATTAGGGGAGCAACTTGGGACTCTGTGCTCAAGCTTGAAACTGGCTGCTCCGCTCCACTTCTGCAGAGTTCTTACGACGAGCTTGCTTTCCCTCTTCACAAATGAAGACCCTGGGACACGGATGGGTTGGGCAGCGTGATCAAGACCTTACAGATGAAAGTAAGGGATCGATCCAGGATTTGAAGCTGGGGTAGACCTCTTTCCACTATTAGGCATTTGACACAGCAGATGCTTAATAAATGTTATTTGGTCTTTCATCGCCTCCTCTTTATCAGAAGGCTAGAGTTACTTAAGAACTACTCACTCACCAATGGCTTTGTGATTTAGGTGTGCCAACCTCTTCCTGATGAGACATGCCCAGAACTGCCATTGCTCATACCCCTGCAGCCGGAGCCGTGCAGGGCCAACATGCACAATACAGCCTCGACTGGAGGGAGGAAGTTCAGCCGAAGCCGATCCCAAGGTGCTTATTTCGTGCAGTGCACGCTTCCTTCTCGGCCTCATGGGTTTCTTTCTAAAATCACAAGTAGTAGGCAGGCCACCCCTGAGCCACCCTCCAGCCTAGAAGAGAAGGTTGAGGGGCTGCAGTCTTCAGAAATCTGCAGGTTTTAGATGCTCAAAGACTAGGTCCTAGGCAAGAGTAAAGCTCATAGTGGAGTTATGAAGAGGGCAAGCAAGTCTCACGGAAGATCCTTGCTTTTCTGTGGCTTCAACCCGGGTAGTGAAATTGCAAAACACTGAGAAGCTGGGTAAAGCCTGAGAAAGAAAGGTGTCAAAGTGGGGTCCGGGGGAGCGGAGGGGAGTGGGGTTATTCAGAGGAAAGGAAAGGCCATTAGAACCTACTTGGGAGGGGGGCTGGGCGCGGTGGCTCACGCCTATCATCCCAGCACTTTGGGAGGCTAAGGCAGGCAGGATCACCTGAGCTCAGGAGTTCGAGACCAGCCTGGGCAGCATGGCAAAACCTCATCTCTACAAAAAAATACAAAAATTAGCTGGGCATGGTGGCACACAAATGTAGTCCCAGCTGCTCTGGAGGCTGAGGCAGGAGAATCACTTGAGCCCAGGAGGCAGAGGTTCCAGTGAGCTGAGATCGTGCCACTGTACTCCAGCCTGGGTGACAGAGCAAGACCCTGTCTCTAAATAAATAAATAAATAAAAAGTACTTGGAAGGGGCTGACTGTGAAGTGTTAACAATCCTTTAATGCGCTCATTTTTCTACTCATCACCAGAATCATTTGTGCCACAGCGGTGCTTCTCCAAGCTGTCAGGTGGGCAACAGAGTAGCTTTCTCTGTTCTTGCAGGGAATTTCAGCTCAGGGTGCAGGTCCCTTCTGGTGGGGGCTACTGAGCAGGAGGCTGTCAGGCTGCAGAGAGCTGTGGCCTGTGTCGGCTGCTCGCACTCTCCCATGCTGTCAGCTCTGCTCAGAACATGGGCTCAGTCTTGACAAGGCAGAGGTGGAGGCAGACCAGCCTCACTGATTAAACATTCATCTTCTGGAAACTATACCAGGGTTTGGGTAGACTGAGCTTTGCAAAGAATGTTTTATGAACATCACCGTTTCGTATTCTTCCTGACAGAGGCAGCTGAGCCACAGCGGCACTCCCATTTCCTGTAACTGCGCACAGCCTCCAGCAGGCCGGGCCTGGGAATGAGCCCAGGACTGAGCTGCCACTTCAGAGAGTTCGGCTGGCGAGCCAGCGCTCTTGCTGGACCAAGGCATCTCGTTTTCAAGCTTCCCCTCTGGAGCCCTCACTCATCCTAATGCTTTCTGTCCACACAATACCCCCCGGCTCTCAGGAACAAGGAAATTGCAAATTAGATTTGCTTGTCTCTGTTGACCTGAAGAAAGTCTTTTCCACTGAAGACTAATTGGCATATTCTGTTTTAGGGATCAGCCCAAGTACTTCTGACTGACTCTCACAGACTCACAGAAAAATATGTTTGAGGGTGGAGCTAGAGGCGATGGTCAAGGTCACACAGTAGGAGCCTGAGGGCAGACGAGGGCTCCTCTCCTCCCAACCCTGTCTCTTTCACCTTCCCTCTGGGGAGAGGTGGGCTCTCCTCATCCCTGTGTTTATTTCACCCTCCCTCTCTGGGGAGAGGTGGGCTCTCTTCCACTTTCTGTCTTTTTCCCCCTCTCTTGTCCATTCTTCTCCTCTGCACTACCCCATCAGCTACTGGCGCTTTTCCTCTCCCCTGATCACCTCTCTGCCACCTAAGCCTGCAAAGAGCTCCTGCACACCCGTGAGAACCTTCTCGGAGAAGGTGGTTGTCAGCAGCGGTTGGTTAAGCTCCTGAGAGCTTGTGTTCTCTGTTGGGGTTGATGCAGAGTTGGGTGCACTTTGGAGACTTCTATTTGCAAACATCCTTTGCTAACTTAAAACACAGATAACAGCCCTAGAGGTGGCTTTACTGGGAACCTAATGATGCTTCAGGCTCCTTTACTTACACAGCCTCTTTCCAAGGCCTCGTTCTCTGCATACTTAAGAAAAAGCATATCTCATGGAGATTTGCTTTTTCTTAAAGGGGGTCTCCCATGGCATGGTTCAGACTGCTCCAATCCTGGCCCACTCCAGCCATACCTATTGGCACTTTGCCATGCTCTACCTACGACTCGTTAAGAACTGGAGCAAACACTGTGTGGGCCTCACTGGCCAGGACCTTGTTGGAAATGCTCTTGAGTTTGTCAAGGGCTTAAGGACTTGAAGAAGGTGTGAAATAATATTTGTGAAAGAAAAAGTTTAGCCTAAGCCGTTTAATTTTTTTGTGTTTTGTTTTTGTGAGATGGAGCCTCACTCTGTCACCCAGGCTGGAGTTCAGTGGCGCGATCTTGGCTCACTGCAGCCTCTGCCTCCCAGGTTCAAGCAATTCTCCTACCTCAGCCTTCTGAGAAGCTGGGATTACAGGCATGCACCACCATGCCTGGCTAATTTTTGTATTTTTTTTTTTTTTAGTGGAGATGGGGTTTTACCACGTTGGCCAGGCTGGTCTTGAACTCCTGACCTCAAGTGATCCGCAGACCTCCCGAAGTGCTGAGATGACAGGTGTGAGCCACTGTGCCCAGCCCGTAAGCCATTTAATTTAAAAAATCTATATAGAAGTCACTCAGAAATGTTTTCCAAATGACTCTTTGGAACCCTGACTTACCCGATGATAAGCACCTCTTCTACGCAGATTTGTTTAAACATCTTAAAAGATGACTGTCTTTTTAAGTCTGCTATGGGTGTTTCCCCTGATAGAGGGAAGGCTTTCGTATCAACCATGAGCCTACTGTCTGTGCCCTCCCCAGCTTTCCTGCTGAGGTGATAGCAGGGGGCAGGGCCACTGGTACCAGGCACCTAAGTGTCTGAGTCCTGTGTGTAGTTCACAGCTTTGAAGACACTCTGCCACATTCAAACCGATTTCCATTTAGAAGGCAAATCTCAGCTGAGGCACACTGGGACCAGGCTCTGTTCTGCAGGGTGTCACCCATCTAAATCTCCTGTTGGCTCAGAAGAGGGCACTGGCGTGGACAGAGCAGAATTTTGTCAGATTCCAACCAAGGGTAGTGCAATGACTCTACTGACTGGAATTTACAATTCTCATTAAATGCTCTCAAAACGTCGCCTGTTTTGAACATATGCTTCTTAGAAAAAACTTAGATATCAAATGACTCAGGGATACCTGATTTTTTAAAAAGAGCT